CTCGTCTCTCACAGACCGGTCGCTGATTGGCTAATCATTTGGCTTAGCCAATCAGCGACCGGCTTGTGAGAGACAAAAGACTAAAGATAGTGACCAGAATATGGGCCCTGTTTTTTTGTTATAAACGTTGATCATGGAGCAACTGTTGAACAGCTGGAAGAACATTTTCGTGGTTGTGACACTATAAATCGTGTGTGGCTATTTAGTGTGATAAGTGCTCCATAATCAAATGTGCAGCTGTGGCACTGGTTGGGTTTTTGGTTGTCACGTATGCAAGGCAAACCTTACTGGCAGGATGTCAAAGAAGCTTTCGGTGTGTAACAGTGTACATCAACATCACAAGCGAACAGTACGGCGTCCCAGGATTATTCCATCAAGGATACAACCGGACAGACAATACTCACTAGGATACAGACCAGGGTAAATATTAAGTACCATTGGATACTATTACGGACTATATCTTAACCATCTCGGGTATCTCGGGCTACCATCGGGACAACCCGCGCAAGGACTACTGCGCACTCAAAGTTTTTCGGTTCATTCTGCTATCATTGTCGAACTAGTGAGTGGGGCAAGTACAATTGTCCCTTGATAATCCGACAGGTATGGGACCAAAGGGGTGTCGGACTACCGAAAGTGCCCGGATTACCGAAAGTGATGACATATTTGGAATTGTTTCGCTAGCAGTAGCCTACAATATTCCTACGTTTTATGAGTAAAATGCTGCCTAGGTTAATATGGAAATGAAACACCCATTTCGGTTAAATAAAACATGCTTATTAAAAGAAATATGGAAGAAATGTACAGTACATACAGTATGTACAGCGACATGCTTCTGTGCAAGCAGACACGTAACGGGGACGGGGACTGCGGTGGCCTTGACGGGAGATGCGTCGGACTACTGAGCATTTCGGATTACAAAACGTCGGACTGTCAAAAGACAACTGTACTTTGGTCCAATGCCACGGTTCACAGACGTTACCAGAATAGTACGTCGGGCAACCTTATTCGATTTAAGTTTAAAGCACAGTTTTTCTGTGGTTACTAGCGAGGTTGAGGCCGAAGTTTTAAACGCTAAAACGTGTACGTCGGACGTTCAGCGCCGCTTTCCTGTAAGCCTAGAAGTTTGACAATGGCGTTTGGAATGTCGAACATGATTCCACTGACTATCTAAACACCATTGTCAAACTTCTAGGCTTACAGGAAAGAGGCGCTGAACTTCCGACGTACACGTTTTAGCGTTTAAAACTTCGGCTTCAACTTCGTTATTTTCTTGGTTATTCTGCATTAAAATGTATGAAATGCTATCATACAAACAGCTTCCCTATCATCAAATGTCACGGCACGCCACTGATTTAAAAGTCTATAGGCCTATATAAAAGCTAGTGGATTAGCCCAGCGTAGGTCAGTTAAAACATCAACAGCAAACATTAAGATTATTATATCATTTTGTACTTCTATCCTGTAAACACTATCATATTATAGTGTGTAGTTTATATAGTTTGTCTTTTTTTCATTTCTTTTGATGCTAATTAGACTATTTTCTTACGTGCATAGAAATACGTTCGATATTTCGCTAAAACCCAAATAACTTCTACAATAGTACAGTAGAAAGCGACTTTCTCAAGGTACTTTTTAACTGTCTATCTCCATTCCGCCGGGTGAATTTTTTAAAAAAACCGTTTTTACTGTTTGCATTCTCATGGCGTACCCTAACTGTGTACCAAATTTCAACTTTTAACTCCTAATCATTTTTGCTCTGGGTTTATTATTGTCATTATCATTATATCAACCCATTTCGATTATATTAGATTCGCTAACGGGTGGATCTATTTCTTTTAACTGTAGCCGAGAAAAGCACGCAACTCTATGCAGGATATTTCCATATTGTTTTACTTATGTGGATCGGTGTTTAACTTTACATTACTTGGACTAGTGACTTTGTTTTAATCGTTTCATTCTACTTCATATGTAATTGTTTCGTATTGTGGAATTTTTCTTGTATTTGTGGCCCTTATGCCAAAGTGGTATTTTTGATATACAGCAACTGACTTAGTTGCTGCCTACCAAAAATGTGTAATGTTTTAGTAATAAAAAATCAAAATAGTAGTAGCTCNTTTATTTAATTTTTTTTTTTTTTTATTTTCAAAAGACACTGTGGCCAGGTTGGCCTTTTACAAGCATCTTAACAGTTAATCAAAACAAACAAACAAACAAACAAAAATCAGGACGCGAGCTGAGAAAGAAGTCTGAGAATTGAGTCGGATAATCGAGGCTCTACTGTATATCATTTTGTACAGTACTTCTAACCTGTAAACACTATCATATTATAGTGGTTAGTTTATATTTAGTTTATATAGTTTGTCTTTTTTCATTTCTTTTGATGCTAATTAGAGTATTTTCGTATGTGCATAGAAATACGCTCGATATTTCGCAAAAACCCAAATAACTTCTAAAATAGTACAGTAGAAAGCGACTTTTTCAAGGTATTTTTTTAAACTGTCTATCCCCATTCTGCCAGGTGAATTTTTTAAAAAACCCGTTTATAGTTTGCATTCTCATGGCGTATCCTAACTGTGTACCAAATTTCAACTTTTAACTCCTAATCGTTTTTGCTCTGGGTTTATTACTGTCATTATCATTATATCAACCCATTTCAATTATATTGGAATTGCTAACGGGTGGGTCTATTTCTTTTAACTGTAGCCGAGAAAAGCACGCAACTCTATGCAGGATATTNGAGAATGCCCTTTCCGATTCAATTGTTGTAAATTGAATTGTGTTTAATGCATTTAAGAAAAGACAGATGCTATCTGTTTTTTCACCTGAAGTCTGGAAGATTTCTAGTTCGTTTTCGAGTTTGTAGTATTACTTTTGCCGTCTAGTATTCTTGATTTGTCTACCTCGGCTGCTTTAATAGCGGCATCAAGCTTACAGCACGATAATTCGGCAGTTCGTTTGGATTTAATAATCAGGTTTATGAAGAAAAGTTTCATACTTGCATACTTCGTACTCGTTTGTATCCTTGCCCAATTTTCACAGCCTGGGGCCTTAGTCTCGAGTTTTTCGTGTTACAACTCCCAACGTGTTGAAGGTGTCACGTGGTACCATCTCACANCATTCTACTTCATATGTAATTGTTTCGTATTGTTGAATTTTTCTTTTATTGGTGGCCCTTATGCCAAAGTGGTATTTTTGATATACAGCAACTGACTTAGTTGCTGCCTACCAAAAATGTGTAATGTTTTGATGATAAAAAATCAAAATAGTAGTAGCTCGGAACGTCCCTTAGTGGGCATTCTTTACAAATTCCCATGAGGCACGTTTCCTTTAACTTTTTTGTTCCCATCAATATGTTCTACAGCTCTGTTAAAGTCCCAATCGCGTCATACGGATCTATATTTCTATCTATTAAACATTCTAAAAAACTTTAAAATAGTTTCATTTGTTTATTTACCTTCGGTTGTAAACCTCGATTTTAAATGTATCTGCCATTTTTTCAACAAATTTCCCGTGAGTCAATGCGCGACGTTCACTGACTTGTAAGTCACGGAATGTTGTAAACGTGCGGCGCGAGGTTAATCTATGCATATAATACGGCAAGGCAAGGCATATAATAATTATTTATACCATTCCGTGGTAAAAATAATAAATTCATATCAATAATAAATTTGTATTACAAATAAAAATAATTTATTATTAATTTAAAATCATCGCTAGGGCGCCACTAGTGCCCGTTTTTGGCATACCGTTACGCGGACGGCCAGACGGACGGACTAACTTACCTGAGATCATGCTAATAATGTTAATTAAATTTTTAATATTTAATGTGCTGTTCTATATTTAATTCGCATGTAATTGATTAATTTATGCACAATTGTTTTGTAAAATTGCCACCTGATTATTCAGGCGATTAACTGCCATAACATCTCTAAAACGAAAGGCCAGAAAACCCTAAAAGCACCCCAAAAGATAACTTTTAATAAGTATATGGAGATACTGTGTTGTAAGGAAAATGTCTCGTCCGAGGGATACCCGCCTCTTACCCGTCGCCGGCCGTTCTCGGCCACAGCGACACTCTGATATTCAATGTCCGGTCAATATTTGTTAATATTCCTACTTCTCTAGAAAGTTAGTATTGTCATTATTATAAACAGGGACTGTTTTCAGCAGCGCCCGCAGATTATGTAAAAGGTAGGCATAAGCTATAAAAAAGAGAAGAAGGAACTTCAAACTCTATGATTCAATTCGGATCAGCGCTCCTGCAAGGTTGCGCTCATTGCACTATGGGCTAACTTGGCTTCGAAAACAAGGAATGGAATTATGCTCAACTTACGACGAAGTTGCACGAGTCAATGAATAAATATCGTTCATTAGTTTCTTTTATATTTGCAGAACAGGCTAAAAGTTATGAATTTTCTTTTGGGGCCTCCTTGGGGATTAGGAAAAGAGCAACCGAAACGAAAAGGAGAGCACGTGCTTCAATGTACGGCCTTTCTCACTTATATTAAGGGAGATTAATAAAATTTGTTTATGTATAATGTATCATATGAAGTTAGTTATTAAAAAATCGAGCAGGCATGCTTGCTGGCGAATCCGGGTTTTTATTTTAAACTCTCCGCCCTGTGGGCACTAAGAGGGATTGTTTTTGCAAGTCCATTACGGATTCGGCCAGGCCCACAATGGGGCGACTGGGTGGCGAGGGACGAGGCCCGACACATCCGAACGGACCACCTCCGAAAAATTCCTGGCGATTCATTATTCGACACGTTCGGATTCGAACCCGTGTCCCCCAGAGTGGTAGGCTGCCACCTTGACATCGCGCCCATCCGGCCGTCAAATAGGTTCTGTTAGTAACCACAGAACGAAAAAAGTAAAAAAAAACTATTTTTAAAACTTTTAAAATTTATACATATAAATTTACAATTTGTAATTATTAAATAATAAAAAAATATAATAAATATTATTATTTAAATTCATAGTTAATTAAATCGACGAGATGGCGCACATTCAATATGGCGGCTCGCAGTAATTGAAACGATTATTAGGATTCCGGTGTTTTCTAATTTGAAACAGATTGAAATATTTTAAAATTATGGCGAACAAAATATTAGATAAGTGTTTAAAATGTTGTACTAATAAATGGGTCAATAAAAGATATTTATCACATTTAATATGGAATAAAAGTATATTTATAGCGAGGAGCAGACCATTGCTAGGGACCGTCCGTTTAAAATCACAAAACAATTCAAATTCTCCTTTCGTACCAATTCCATTAAAAATTACTAACAATCCTGATGATATTAATATAGGCGAGGAATTAACTACCAAATTAAAGAAAGGTAAGTTAACGTTGTTTTGTGTTCTGAATGCCAAAATCTGAACGGTTGAACCTCAAAGACGTCAACCAGGTTATTTTTAATAGCATTATTAGAAGGTTATTCCTCTAAGAAGTAGTCTATCGGGCTTTAGACGATTTCCATTATAAAAAGAGAGCAACTAAGGGTTCAGAAATGATTTTTGATAGGATATTCTGCCCCAAAATTTTCCTCTTATCTCTTCTGATTCGGTCAGACGTGTTCGAAATATCATCCTATTTCCACTTCGTAGTCACCGTTTTGAATCGACTGAGGGGCCCACCGGAAGCACTGGGAGTTTGGTTGTGGGTTTGTGTCTGGCTGGGATGGGCTGAATGCGTGGAGTTGTCTGGGTTTTCTCCACATCTTTAACACCTGAATAGGGGCCAGTTACTCTTAAAAAAGACCTCCTGGAAGGCATTTCTCTAGACCAGGCATGGACAACATACGGCCTGTCTAATGAATTTATGCAGCCCGTGATTAATCTTTCAATATTATTTTATTTATTTGTTGAAACCTTATCTTCCTCTTGTTTCTTCTAATTCAATGTCACGACTTGGTGCATTTATCAACACTTGGCATATAATTTCATCATCCACTTTTAATTCATACTGATACGCATTTTGGGCTTTCGCCCTCTTCAGTCTGTTACATAGATAGGTTGTATCTTGTGTATACAGTATCTGTCAGGCACCTTTCGTACTTCCACTCCCCTTTCGTACTTCCACTCCCCTTTCCTCCCCCCCGACTTGATGTCCTCCCCCGCATGCCTTGTAACTTGTAACATCTCACTCCCCGAGTGCCACACACAGCCTCGCCTGCGACTGTATAAACATTCTATTTTAATAATTGTAGCCAGTTTTTATGAATGTCAATGCTTTGATTCTTGTTAATATTATTTTTGTCGTAGTAATTTCGTAGCTTTCCTTGAATTTTCTTTTGTATCAATTTTTTCCTTGTGTAGTATTAGTGTATAACATCATTCTTATCTATTTTGCAGTTGTGGGTTGTGCAATGTTCGTAAAAAACAGAGTTGATTCTATTATACTTCAGGTCCACGATGTGTTCTTTTAATCTTGTTTCTAATTTTTGTTTTGTTTCTCCAATCTGTACTTTTGGCAGTTTGTATGTGCAAGGTATTTCATAGACGACTTCGGTAGTGTTGTATTTGTCTGGTTGTTTATTTATGCCAGGTTCAGCCTTCTGGATTCTTTTTTGCAAGTTGTTATAGGTTGGGGCTAGCTTTATATTTATTTTATCAAAACTTTTGTTTACCTGTTCAAAGAAGCCACGAATGTAGGGGAAGGATATGTATCTTACTCTGTTTTTATCTTTGTTTTGTTTATTTTTCAGCCTTTTATTGTTGATTTTACTTTCCCAGTTATTTATTATTCGTTTTGGATAGCCGTTTAATAGGAATTTAGTTTGCAGTTCGTTGAGGTGTTTTTTTCTTCTTCTGTAGTGAGCTTGTTCTGCTCTTGATTTTTTTATACTCCATGATGAATATATTTTCTTTTATGTACTGTGGAATGTTTGAATTGTAGTTTATCACTTTCCTGATATTGCATGGTTTTGTGTATGGCTCGAATTCAATCTTGTTTGCCTTTCTGATTATTTTAACGTCTAGGTGATTTATTTCCGTGTTTGCTTCATTTTCTACCTTGAATTTGATATTATTGTTTAATTTGTTTATTTTTTCTTCTATTTCTTCTAATTTTGTATTTCTTGGTCATATAGTATAATTATGTCATCCACATATCATTTATAGAACTTTATGCCTGTAATCTTTTTGATTGCTTGATCTATATCTACGTCCAAATAGCTCAATGAAAAATTCTGACGCCTAAATAAAAAAAAAAGTCAATAACTCACTGTGCATTTAGAGTTAACCCTCCATTACAAATCTTGTAAGTACAGCGTAGAATGTTGATAAAGCATGATAATGTAAAAAATGTATCTGTAATCTCTATGTACAATTTAGTCTCTATGGGTGGGGTGACACCACAATGAGATCTCGCACCACCTCAAAATCTTCCTAGGGCAGCCTCTGGTTTGGCCCATGAAAAAAGTTTTCTTTCCAATTTGGTCCGGGGCAAAAACTGTTAGCCACCCTTGCCCTAGACAGATCACCCAAGCATTGTGTTACTGTAACTTAATAAACAAACAAACAAATGAATCGACTGATGCCATAAAAGAAAATTTGCTGTGAGTCTCAAAGGGGCTTTGCAAAACGACTTCAAAGCGTGTTTGGAGGATTGGAAAAAATGTTGACATAAGTGCATTGTAGTGGGAGAGAATTACTTCAAAGGGGACAAAATAAATTTTGGTGAATAAGTTTAAATCTTTCATTTTATCGAACGGTTCCTGGTACTTTTTGATCGCAAGTACGGCACCGTGGCTTCGAACCAGATCATGCAAAAGGAAAGTGTTTAAATAATTTTACGTGGACCCTTCGACTAAAAGAAAAACGTAACGTTTTTGCTTATCGAGTAATTAAATCAAACAGTTTTATAACTGTATCCTAATATATAACTGTATCCTAATAACTCGGTAGCTATTTGAAAGAATGTTTCCCTTAAATTGAAAGAAAACAATCTCATTCATTTTTAAAAACCACTATTGCTAATGAATATTTACACTTTTTGGGCACTTACCATAAACAAAAAACAAACTGGATAATGCAATCTTATTTTCTGTTCTGTATTGATTTCTGCACAGTAATTGCCAAAAACCCAGTTTGAAATTGTTTCATTGAGGTTTAGTACACAACAAAACATAATTCATTTTCATTTCATCTTTATTTATTTATGAAATTCATTTTTACTGATATCCAAAACTCAATTTGTTCCATTCTGCCAAATTTTTCAGAATTGGTACTTACTGAAAAAGTTTGAAAAATGTTGCTCTAAATTTAATCAAATTTGATAGGAAAATGTTTGTGACTCCTTATGTCTATCTTCTAAGATAATTTAATAGCAATAAGCATATTTTATTGCATAAAATGAAAACATGTCTCAATATTAAAATGATATAGCATTTATATTATCGCAAGTGAGGTAGCATTGTGGTAAAATTTAATTTATACCAAGTATTAGATAGGGAGTAACTACTATGAGAAATAAATGGATAATTCTAATTAAAATAATTTTATTGAATTATCAATTATTGAATAATTTTTATTATTATTTATCAAATCTTTTAATAAAGCATATTTTTATATTTTAATAAATTATTTTTAATTAAATTTAAATTGTTCATTTTATAAATTACTTCATAATTTTTAATAAATTTTTTTAGATGATTTATTAAGTGTCCTTAACCAATTCGTTCAACGGCCTCATGTAAAACAGTTATCGGAAGAAAATGGATTAGAAGGTACAACAGTTTGAGTATTTTTTTAATGAAAAATATGAAATATTTATGCTATTGGAAAAATTAAAATTATAATATATAAATTTTTATAATGTTTAATTATTTACTTTTACTGTAATGTTTGTGCTGTTACATAACTGTTTCAGCAAAATTTTTTGGTTTTGAATTGTGAAAATATTTTCCACAGAAATCTATTAAAAAACACACAATTTAATTAAAACTTTAAGAATGCTGCTACTTCAAATGTATCGTTAGTGCAAAATTTTAAAAATTATATTTGAGAAATAGAAGAAATATTTTAGGGAGAATTACCACTGTCGTCTGTCTGTTTGCCTCTCCTTCCTTAATTTCAAGAATGGCGTTAGATAGATGAAAGCCGAGAGCAGATATGGAAAGATTAGGAGCAGGAGGCCCCGATTAACTATATAAAAATTTCCGATGCAAACCGGAAGTCTCATTATTTTAATTCAAAAACTTTTCCTCGAAAGGTATTAGATAGATGACCGTCACGACTCTTGTCATCAAGAAAAGTATGACGTACAGCAGCAAGACACTAATAATTTGATATAGAGAACATATATTCTATATTAAATAAATTAAGAAGATAATTAAAAATTGCAGCTCGGCATTGTGATGATGTCAGAATAAATAATTGCTTGCTTTCTGTTAAATTTTTCTCGAGTTATATTAACAAACATAATTCAAATTATTATTTAGATTAGGATGGTCCAACTTCTTTCGGTTTGGGGCCAAATCGAATTTTTGGCTGTAAGTCACAGGCTGGAGAAATAGTTTATGAAAATTATATATACGGAAAATTCTTTCAAACTCTTAATTAAATAACAGACTATAGCTAGATAACATTTTAATGGGAACACTGAGAAGTATGCTGGTTTATTAAAGATTTAACTTATTGATTTAATGTAATGAAATTGTTCTTTTATTAATTGTTCTTCTATCATAACTTTCTATTCTAAAAATAATGCTATGCACTTATAGAATGGATGAAGTGATTCAATTCTCTATAATTGTATTTTCATAAGAAAATCATAATGATAAACAATGAAACAAAACTATGTTTAAGATAGCATAAATTATTATTTAATTATAAGATTAACATTAAGAATTAAGAAATAAAATCTTCAGTTAATTTTATGCTATAATTATTTGTTCTTTCTTTTTAATATTTAATTATTACATAAATATGCATCGTAAGCAAAGTCCAAATTCCTTAGTCACTTAGAAATCTGATTTGCCAGATTAGATCACGTTATATTACTGCTAATATTAATAATTAAATACAAAGTAATTTGGGCCTAGAGGTAGGCGTTAGGCACCATCTTTTATTAAAATTAATAATTATAATTAAATTAACATTTATTAATTAATTTATAAGGTTCTGAAAGGAAAGAATCAGCCTGGAATGGGACTCAATCCTGCAACCGCCTCTTACTGTGTGAATGCGTTGCCAGTTATGTGACCCAACTCTCTGCCTGACCTTGTATTTAATTATTAATAGTGGTAGTAAAACAGTCTGATGTAATCTGGCAATCGTGTGACTCTAATATATAATTATCGAGCTTACAGAGGTTTATATTTGTAAAAACATTATTTATTAATTTAATTATCTATAAATTCAAAAATTAACGACAGGTTAGTAAATTGTTTTGTATTTAATATTTAACAGAGATATTTTCTTTTAATTTAATTTTTAATGTTTAAACTAAATTTATTTTTAACTTTTAGTTAGGTTATTTCATCAGGTATTCATCAGTTTTCGAAAATTTTGTATGGAATCGGAAACGCTACCTGCAGATTTACATATAATTTTCAGTGATATTTTACAAGGAGCAGGTAAATTATATTGTAATTTAAATATTTATAAACTTTTAAAATATTTAATCAATTTTATATTGTTTTATATAAAAAGTAATAAATATTTAGGTATAATATTATGGTAGAATGATATATATTTATTTATTTATTATTTATCATGTGAATGTTGCATGCTTAATAAAGATTCATTGCACAGATAGCAGAAAAGGAGTATAGATCATTTGGAAAAGAATAGCATTTGCAATCATGCAAACAAGCTATAAAATTTACAAAACACTTATTTTTATTCCAAAATATATAGTAAAAATCATAAAATTAAAATTTTTAAAAGTGCTTATAAAATATGCATTATCAGACAACCTTAATTTCATCCACTTGAACTCAAATCATGTTTATATTGAGGTTTTGACATTATAGCATCTAAGAAAAAACACATGCATGTACAAAGCATGCATGCTCTTATTTATCAAATATATTGACAAATCTCAATATCTTTCTGTATTGCTGTTTATTTTATATACAATGTATACCTCAGGTTACATCGTTTCAAGTTAAGTCGTTCTTGATTATACGTCGTTTGTCAAAAAAATATATGGAAAAATAAAAATCAAGTTTAAGTCATTTTATTCGACTTTACGTCTACACAAATATTGAAGTCTTAATATCACTAGAAAAGCATTAAAAGCACATACTATCGTATTAAAATACGTACATTTAGAGTAAATGTTAATATAATCATGATAAATCTAGAGAACGAAACATGAAAACATCTGTGATTCTGTGTTGTCATCTTATTTAGTGGTCTTTAAGAGCTTAATATTGACATTTTCCACGGTAGCTCCAATATCTACCGTTTGGCGTCGTCATCAGCACCACTCGATATTGGTAAATTTAACATAAATTAGTTTATTTTCTACTATCGCAAAGTAATTTTAATAACTGTATTTGTTATTTAACCTTACAAAATCATCTTATTTTATAATGTCTTAGAGCAAACCACATTCACAAATAAAGAGTCCACGACGTACTGTAAACATCGCCAAATTGTAAACACGTATATTTACAAGTATGTACGCATATGTATTCGTAAATTTAGATTACTTTTTTTCTGTACTATATTTTAAAAACTAAAATTTATTTGTTTGTAAGCTTAAAATAGATCCTTATTAACCATGTATTATTAAAAATGCATTTATAAATAAAATACAGAACTGGGAATGGTTATTTGTGGTTTAGCATAATGACAGGTAAATTCGGAGTTACCTCTCCTGGAACAAATTACCAACATAAGGAGATGTATATTTGTACATCTAGAATAGAAAGTTTTTAAAATTTTGGTAAAGGTTAAAAATATTTGTTAACATTACAATAACTACTAAATATTTTGGAAATTTTTCAATTATTCTGATTATTAACAAATGATGACAATTAGCAATAATTTTCTAAAAAGTAATTAATTTTATTTTTGAAACATTTATAGAACTATTCATTAAAATTTTTTGAATGATATTTTATTTGTTACTCTGATTTTAAAAAATTAATAACTATGAAAATTTGTAGTTTGTAATCATATAATATATATATTATGTGATCATATTTATTTAAAAAACAATAATATGTAAAACCCTGCGAAACTTTATAACAGCTGGATAAGTTTTTGATATATTTTATTATTATATGATTGAATTTATCAGAAATTGAATCATAAATCTTATTGATTTTAATTAAAAAGTTAACACAAGTTTAGACTTTTTAATTTTGTGGACAATAAAAAATATAAAAGTATTACTTGATTTTTACTGAGTACATAAGATGTTCAACATAAATAGAATATCGTTATGAAGAGAACATTAAAATATTGTTATGAGAATTCAGAAAGGTGAAATTAATATACAGTAGACTCTCATTAATTTGAACTCAGATGGACTTAATTAAAAGGAGAACATTTCTGGATGGTATAGAATGAAAAACAAAAATGATTTTAACGACACATTAACGTTAACCACATGGCAAGCAGAGTAATGTTTTATCGATGAGAAATAGAAAAAGAAAGGCTCCGTGTTGCCCAAGAGAAGCCACGATGAGCAAGCACCACAGGGTAACTGTAAACTGCCATGTGCCAACTGATTTGAAATGTTTTAAAATTTTAATTAATTTATTTTTGAATTTATTAATGTAAAATTTGACCTTTAAATTTCAAAAAAAAGGGAAGATGATGATAATCTAGTAGCACATGCTTTTGATTCAAATAAACAGTACAGTCAAGTTTGAATTAATGAGAGAATTACCGAGGAATCAGACGAAGACTAGTATCCAGTTCAAATTAAGAGGAAATTCGTTTGTACAAATTCAAATTCATGAGAGTCTATTGTACAAGTTAATTGTATTAATAACATTCAATAATTTAGAGTAGGTGAATTGTAAAAATTAGCATTTTGTAACAACATGAAATTCTGTAAATTGTAAAAATTTTAGCAAAGATGGTGATTTTAAGTTATGCATTAGTAATAATAATAAAATACTAATAAATAAAATGCAAAGAACATGACTGATAAAGAAAATGTTTCTGTTAATACAAAATTATAATAAATTGGTAAGTTCAATCATTAAAATACTTCATATAAACAACACAGAAACAAAAAATGCCAAAAACTCCAGCAAAAATCAAAAAATATTTAATGATAAACATTTTCAATAACTTTAGCTATCATCATCAGCTTAAATGTGTTCAAAAAAGAATGCAATCTTCCTTTAAATTACGACATTCAATTTATCTGTGTTATTTTTCAAATATATTTAACCTGATGAGGATGGCTAAAATTATTGAAAATGTTTGTTTATCATTAAATACTTATCGTTTTTGCTGAAGTTTTTGGTTTCTTTAATATTAAAATACTTCTGTTTTTACATTTTACTGTTGATTTTTGATTTTTCCAGTCCGGAAAGTTTTTATATGTTTTTTTTTTTTTAAATCAGGTTATAAATAATAAATCTGTTATAAATGTTTTTTTATGTTACTAAAATATAAATAATTTATATGATTTTTTCATATCTAGTATTTTAAATAGTTGTCATAAATTATGATGATATATGAATGAAATCATTTTTAAAATATCTGAGAATTTAGACATGAGAAATGTAAGAAAAGAGGGAAAACCAAAAGAACCAGGGTCTCATGCCTACAGGAGTTCTCTCTAGTTGCATTTATGCAAAAGTGAGAAGGAAAATTCTGGTGAATTTTACAGCAAAATAAATTTAATGAAAAATAAATGAAACTACAGTGAAACCTCGCATAACGAGCAAAACAAATTGTAAAAAAAATGACTCTCTTAACGAGTGACGAGAAGAGGGAAGTCTCGGATTGTGCGCATGCTCCATCAGTTTGTGTTTAGCACTCATTCCATGAGTATCTTAGTGTCGCTTGTGATCACACATTTTTCCTAAGTTGTATTCACACATATTACATATAAACATCAACAATCATAGCCCGTTATATAATAAACATACCAAACGATATGCCATATTCTTGGGCTATGTAAAGGTTATAATTAAATATTAGAAATTAAATAATTTGACTAGAGGTAGACAGTTATGCTGCTATCTTGTATTAAATTTAATGACCAATTCCAAATTAAATTTAGATTTTTTTTAGTAGTCTGCAAATCAAATTCGCATTCCAGGTTGGTTCATTCCACACTAGAAGAAAAGATGATAATTCATGCTTCTTAACAATGTATGTTGTATAATTTTCTTTGAATAAGCGTTATACTTAAAATATTTGAGTATTTTTTTCGGCATGGACCACATTATCATATTTTACATTAATTTATATGGGAAAAATTGTTTCGCTTAACGAGTGTTTCGCATTAAAAGTAAGATTCTGGAACGAATTATGCTCATTAAGCAAGGTTCTACTATACTCTATTGACATTGCCTTTCTTTTATTTATGGACACACTGTATTTTTTCATGACTTCCCTGGCCATTTTATTCATATTTGACAGATTGCTGGCTGGCTCCCTCATCACATTTTATTGTTGATGTTGCATGGAAGCAAAGCTGCTGAAGTATTGCACGTGTGCCAACTCGGCAGAGGAGAAAAATATGCAAGATAGTTCAACAGGTCAGACTTTTGGGAATGAGGGAAACTCGTGCATTTCTTGCATGTAATGCATGAGAACTCCATCTCCCTCTCCTACATAAACAGCATTGCAAGTGCAAATTCTGATTCCAAAAGTTCTCTTTTGCCAGTTTTTCTCTCTTGTCTGCATAAATGCAGCCTATGTATTTGTTTTGTTTCCATTTGCCATTCTCATTGATTTGACATAGATTTTGGAAGAATGAAAAAAAAAAAACATGAAATAAGCAATTGTTACTGCAGTGTACCTCAATACAAACAGAGTATTTTTCATTTATTTCCAAAAGATCTAATCTTATGGAAACAATGTTCAATGTTTTACGATTTGGAAAAAGATCCAAAAACACTTGTTTGCTCTTTGCATTGTCTTACGACTTATTACATGTTGTCAGGTAAAATATATAGGGTCTTTACAAAATAACTCTGAGATTTCATATACAGTTTGATAAATGATACATTAGAAATTTCACTTAAATTTTATGAGATGAAATGAAAGGACATACTTTCAAGTTTTTCTTTTTTTTGCATTTAGTACATTTTGATATGTGCTCTCTTCATGGCTCTGCAAATGTCCAATCAGTATTCTATTACTTCTCCACATCCACAATAGCAGTATAATAGTCACGCTGGCATTGCTATAATAATCTGCAACTCCAAAGTGCATCACACTAATTTCTTTTGTGGCTTCAAGTGCAAGAAACTTGAATTTGTTCCATGTTATCTTCTGATGTTATTCCTCCCAGTGGTTTTCCTTTTAAAATGTTGCAACCACTGATAAATAGTCTTATCTGAAGGTACTTCACTGCCATACTAAATTGCTATCTCACAGCATACAAAGTTAAATGGTTTGCATCAAGTACAGCTTTTTCTTCAGTAAAACATCATTTTCTTTCTTTTTTGGAATAAGCTAATATATCACTTAAATGTCTTTTTTTCAAAGACACGCCTAATAGTTATTTATTATCACTCAATTTGTATATATTTATAATGTAATAAATGCAATAATATACTAGTTTCGGCTGTCGTATTGCAAAGATTAAACATACTTTAACTCATGAATAAGGAAATTTATTTTAAATAATCAATAATATAAAAGCATACATTTTAATTTAAAAAGTTCATATTTGTAGCTATAAAAATTATATTGAATTTATTTTCTCCTTGTTTTATTTTATATATATTTTTTAATCTACTTAATTTCTATAGAGGAATGACTAAAATTTGTTTCGTACTAGGTCATGTCGATGATTTATTTCCCTTTTTCTTGCAACATGCCAGACGAGTGTTTCCTCATTTGGAATGTATGGAAGAATTAAAGAAAATTAGTGATCTCCGTTTACCTGCAAACTGGTAATTACATAAATACATATAAATTTAATAATGTAAGGTATATTGCAGAACTTTATATATATATAGTTTATTGTTAGGTATCCTGAGGCAAGAGCAATAAATAGAAAAATAATATTTCACGCTGGACCAACTAATAGTGGAAAAACTTATCATGCTTTAGAAAGGTTCTCAATGGCAAAATCTGGTGTATATTGTGGTCCATTGAAATTATTAGCAGTTGAAGTTTTTCATAAAACAAATGAAAGGGTTAGTAAATTTTGTTATCTCTATAGAATGTTCTTTTTAACTTTAATGTAAGTCTAATAAATATAGTAGAATCCATTTATTGTAATTACTTTGAGACTTGCCTATACCAATAACAATAACTAACTGATGACATTAAGCAAAATAAGAAAATAAGTTTTTAATGAATAAAAATTCTGGTTTTATTGGTTCCGCTATTAAAAGGACATGTTAAAGCAATTAATTGTATGATGTGAAAATTTTTAAATGTATATGCAATATAAATATAAACATCTTATGAAACTCAATACCTTACAATAACACTACTTCAACTGTCATATAACATTGGATTATATATATAAAATGCTTCCCTCTAGGGTCAAATTTATAATTATCATTACCAATTTATAGCCGATGTTATATAGTAGTTGAAGTAGTAGTGTTATAATTAATATGGAATTCATTCAATATTACTTACTTACTACTGTTTAAAACCTGCTAGCATGTAGGCATAATTGAAGTAAGAAATGTAATTTAATGAAGTAACGTATATTTCCGCAGATAAGACGATAGTTGAATCATAAAAAATGGCCCCCAAAATTTGGGATCGTCTTATAGAACGGATACAAAAAAAATTAGATTGAAATTTACATAAGTTAAAACCATTATAAAAAAACGGACAAACCGTAATTATTTACTAGTAGAGGGTAGGGTATGTCCACAAAATATAATAGACCATACGACTTTTATGTGAATAGTCAAAGTCATTACCCGAATGCCCGAATCAGTGCGAATGTTTGCAACGATTGCAAGGCAGTGCTGACGAATTCAAGAAAATAAAATTTGTTCGTTCAAAAAATTACAAATAGGACATAATTCCGTATACGCTATACAGTATTATTATTCATATGCTGATCGCTGATCTAAACTAAATTCATAGGCCGTTGATAGTTTGGAGGTCATCCTATAGGACAGATATATGCTAAAACAATAAAACTTTGACAAAAATTTATACCTCTTCTTATCTGCAGAAATATACGGTAATTTAAACTATTGTACTATGAATAAATAAAGATTAAAACAATTAGTATTTAATGTGTAAAGCACTGGTTAAAATTGGTAATGATAAAGCACTGGTTAAAATTGGTAATGATAATTGATAACAATTGTGCATTATACAACAAGAGGCTGATACTACAAAAAGAGAACTTAAAAATGTCTAATTACCCCAAAAAATAACAACAACCAAATGCTGATCACAAGCCTAGTTCATAAGTGTATTTTAACTTGTTTTGGGACCTGCTAACTTTGATAACATTAAAGGACTGATAACAATATTGTAATTACAATAAGCAGAGTGTACTGTTTATCTACAGCAATAAGTGGCATTTACTGGACAAAGGCATAAACTACTAAATTGTGCCATTGCTACTTTAGGCTGACAAATATTTACTAAGTGATGAACATTTTAATGTAACAATAATATTAAATACAAATTATATCCAGGGTTCCTACGCACCTGGAAAGTCAGGGAAAATCAGGGAAAGTCAGGGATTTTCATTATTTTTTGAAAAAGTCAGGGAAAGTCAGGGAATTTGTCAAAAATTGTCAAAAAGTCAGCGAATTTGTCGAAAATTGTCAAAAAGTCAGGGAATTTGTCTCCTTAACTGCGTTTTTGATTTGGTTTGCTGAATATAGATGACCAATCATAGCCATACGCAGGCGGCAAGAAGTAATGCTGCAATCTTTAAAACCCGAGATAACTCGGGAAAGTTCCATAGCGTTATATAAAACTCGGGCATTTGGGCCCTCCGNTGAAATATTTATGCTATTGGAAAAATTAAAATTATAATATATAAATTTTTATAATGTTTAATTATTTACTTTTACTGTAATGTTTGTGCTGTTACATAACTGTTTCAGCAAAATTTTTTGGTTTTGAATTGTGAAAATATTTTCCACAGAAATCTATTAAAAAACACACAATTTAATTAAAACTTTAAGAATGCTGCTACTTCAAATGTATCGTTAGTGCAAAATTTTAAAAATTATATTTGAGAAATAGAAGAAATATTTTAGGGAGAATTACCACTGTCGTCTGTCTGTTTGCCTCTCCTTCCTTAATTTCAAGAATGGCGTTAGATAGATGAAAGCCGAGAGCAGATATGGAAAGATTAGGAGCAGGAGGCCCCGATTAACTATATAAAAATTTCCGATGCAAACCGGAAGTCTCATTATTTTAATTCAAAAACTTTTCCTCGAAAGGTATTAGATAGATGACCGTCACGACTCTTGTCATCAAGAAAAGTATGACGTACAGCAGCAAGACACTAATAATTTGATATAGAGAACATATATTCTATATTAAATAAATTAAGAAGATAATTAAAAATTGCAGCTCGGCATTGTGATGATGTCAGAATAAATAATTGCTTGCTTTCTGTTAAATTTTTCTCGAGTTATATTAACAAACATAATTCAAATTATTATTTAGATTAGGATGGTCCAACTTCTTTCGGTTTGGGGCCAAATCGAATTTTTGGCTGTAAGTCACAGGCTGGAGAAATAGTTTATGAAAATTATATATACGGAAAATTCTTTCAAACTCTTAATTAAATAACAGACTATAGCTAGATAACATTTTAATGGGAACACTGAGAAGTATGCTGGTTTATTAAAGATTTAACTTATTGATTTAATGTAATGAAATTGTTCTTTTATTAATTGTTCTTCTATCATAACTTTCTATTCTAAAAATAATGCTATGCACTTATAGAATGGATGAAGTGATTCAATTCTCTATAATTGTATTTTCATAAGAAAATCATAATGATAAACAATGAAACAAAACTATGTTTAAGATAGCATAAATTATTATTTAATTATAAGATTAACATTAAGAATTAAGAAATAAAATCTTCAGTTAATTTTATGCTATAATTATTTGTTCTTTCTTTTTAATATTTAATTATTACATAAATATGCATCGTAAGCAAAGTCCAAATTCCTTAGTCACTTAGAAATCTGATTTGCCAGATTAGATCACGTTATATTACTGCTAATATTAATAATTAAATACAAAGTAATTTGGGCCTAGAGGTAGGCGTTAGGCACCATCTTTTATTAAAATTAATAATTATAATTAAATTAACATTTATTAATTAATTTATAAGGTTCTGAAAGGAAAGAATCAGCCTGGAATGGGACTCAATCCTGCAACCGCCTCTTACTGTGTGAATGCGTTGCCAGTTATGTGACCCAACTCTCTGCCTGACCTTGTATTTAATTATTAATAGTGGTAGTAAAACAGTCTGATGTAATCTGGCAATCGTGTGACTCTAATATATAATTATCGAGCTTACAGAGGTTTATATTTGTAAAAACATTATTTATTAATTTAATTATCTATAAATTCAAAAATTAACGACAGGTTAGTAAATTGTTTTGTATTTAATATTTAACAGAGATATTTTCTTTTAATTTAATTTTTAATGTTTAAACTAAATTTATTTTTAACTTTTAGTTAGGTTATTTCATCAGGTATTCATCAGTTTTCGAAAATTTTGTATGGAATCGGAAACGCTACCTGCAGATTTACATATAATTTTCAGTGATATTTTACAAGGAGCAGGTAAATTATATTGTAATTTAAATATTTATAAACTTTTAAAATATTTAATCAATTTTATATTGTTTTATATAAAAAGTAATAAATATTTAGGTATAATATTATGGTAGAATGATATATATTTATTTATTTATTATTTATCATGTGAATGTTGCATGCTTAATAAAGATTCATTGCACAGATAGCAGAAAAGGAGTATAGATCATTTGGAAAAGAATAGCATTTGCAATCATGCAAACAAGCTATAAAATTTACAAAACACTTATTTTTATTCCAAAATATATAGTAAAAATCATAAAATTAAAATTTTTAAAAGTGCTTATAAAATATGCATTATCAGACAACCTTAATTTCATCCACTTGAACTCAAATCATGTTTATATTGAGGTTTTGACATTATAGCATCTAAGAAAAAACACATGCATGTACAAAGCATGCATGCTCTTATTTATCAAATATATTGACAAATCTCAATATCTTTCTGTATTGCTGTTTATTTTATATACAATGTATACCTCAGGTTACATCGTTTCAAGTTAAGTCGTTCTTGATTATACGTCGTTTGTCAAAAAAATATATGGAAAAATAAAAATCAAGTTTAAGTCATTTTATTCGACTTTACGTCTACACAAATATTGAAGTCTTAATATCACTAGAAAAGCATTAAAAGCACATACTATCGTATTAAAATACGTACATTTAGAGTAAATGTTAATATAATCATGATAAATCTAGAGAACGAAACATGAAAACATCTGTGATTCTGTGTTGTCATCTTATTTAGTGGTCTTTAAGAGCTTAATATTGACATTTTCCACGGTAGCTCCAATATCTACCGTTTGGCGTCGTCATCAGCACCACTCGATATTGGTAAATTTAACATAAATTAGTTTATTTTCTACTATCGCAAAGTAATTTTAATAACTGTATTTGTTATTTAACCTTACAAAATCATCTTATTTTATAATGTCTTAGAGCAAACCACATTCACAAATAAAGAGTCCACGACGTACTGTAAACATCGCCAAATTGTAAACACGTATATTTACAAGTATGTACGCATATGTATTCGTAAATTTAGATTACTTTTTTTCTGTACTATATTTTAAAAACTAAAATTTATTTGTTTGTAAGCTTAAAATAGATCCTTATTAACCATGTATTATTAAAAATGCATTTATAAATAAAATACAGAACTGGGAATGGTTATTTGTGGTTTAGCATAATGACAGGTAAATTCGGAGTTACCTCTCCTGGAACAAATTACCAACATAAGGAGATGTATATTTGTACATCTAGAATAGAAAGTTTTTAAAATTTTGGTAAAGGTTAAAAATATTTGTTAACATTACAATAACTACTAAATATTTTGGAAATTTTTCAATTATTCTGATTATTAACAAATGATGACAATTAGCAATAATTTTCTAAAAAGTAATTAATTTTATTTTTGAAACATTTATAGTCATAACTTTCTATTCTAAAAATAATGCTATGCACTTATAGAATGGATGAAGTGATTCAATTCTCTATAATTGTATTTTCATAAGAAAATCATAATGATAAACAATGAAACAAAACTATGTTTAAGATAGCATAAATTATTATTTA